AAAAACCTGCAGTGTCTTGTGTCTGGACCTCTAGGCCATGTCCGGTGGGGTGAAAGGACACTTAAAAATCACCCCGTTATTTTTTGAGGGGCGGCTAGGACCAAACAAACGTCCTGGGCCGCCCAATTTTTTTTTTTGATTTTTGCCCCAGGGGCCTCCATCCAGACATGGGGACCGGACACCGGACACCAGACACCGGACACCGGACTGTCTGGAACCCGGTCCGGACGTCCGGACGGTTACCATGCAACAGATTAAGGGCGCATAGGGTCGCCCCTCCGCTGCGTCGAGGCAAGGTACTTCTAGGGGGCCTATACATACTACCTACACATGGCTCACACAGGCACTGATAGAGGTGGTGGTAAGAACACCTCTCACTGGTATTCACTTCGCAGATGCTTCATGGTAGGGAGCAGCGTCTGCCACGGGTCCACGCACATTACAAGCATACACATAGCCTACAGGCACGTACCCGCAATAACGAACACACACACATACATAACCATAGGGCTGGGAGGAGGTCACGACCAACTAATAATAGGCGTCTCAATGATAAGAGAGGGCGTGAGTTACTAGTCGGTCTACTAATAGGTGATTGCTTGAGCCTGGCGTCTGAAGTTCCCGTACGACGAGGCTCGTTCGACTACGCTTCCACCAGGGCTGGGTCACTAGCCCTGGTGCCTGTCACTACTGTTCGGTCCAAGTTCCCCTCGATGGTAGGGTAATGGTCCTGAGTGCTGGTCACATTGAGGGAGGATAGAAGGAATAGGGGGTGTGCTAGGAGTATTTGACGCGAGGATGGGATGGGAGGTAGCCTCGTCTCTTCAGGGCAACCATGGCTGGCAGCTTCCGGCAATCAATGTGAGCCTAGTAACTGACCCTCTACAACACCCTGGACTTAAAAAAAAAAAAAAAAAACTAGGCACTCGAAATCCCAGAATCGCAAAATCAGCGGCCAGAGCCAGTCCTCAATGAAGAACTCGATCTGGCCGCTCATTTTGCTATTCTGTGATTTTGAGGGTCTAATGTGAGGGCATACTCACACTAAGCCCTTGTAATCGCAGAATTGCAAAATCAGCGGCCAGATCGTCTCCTTCTAAAAGGAGGACTCGATCTGGCCACTGATTTGTGATTCTGCCATTATAAGGGCCAAGTGTGAAGGCATACTCACACAAGGCCGTCAAAATAGCAGAATCACCGGTTGGATAGACGGCTCCTTTCAGAAGGACCTGATCTACCCGCTGATTTTGCCATTCTGCAATTCTGAGCACCTAGTGTGAGTATACTGCGAGGGCGTACTCACACTAGCAGTATCTCAAATGTATCTGACCGCATTCACGCCATACCTGGATGTATCTGGCCACAGTTCCGTCCAAAAATACACAAAAACGTAGTAGTGTGAGTATGCTCTGAGTATACTCTTATAATGTTTGGTGGAAACTCCTTTGTTTTGTTTTGTTTTGTTTTGTTTTGTTTTGTTTTGTTTTGTTTTGTTTTGTTTTGTTTTGTTTACAGAAGGACTTTCCTGATCACAAAGGTGAATTTGGACACCTTTCTCTGCCATTTGGCACTGATCAAGGGCCTCGCTCCGTTACTCTCGACATGCACAAATTTAAGAGAAAAATCGTGGTGGTGTATCTTTCCATGTTCTAGCAGAAGATTCACTCTCGTTTTGCACATTTCGAGAGTAGTGTAGCGAGGACCCAAATGTAGTATCTGTTCTGGTCAGTTCAATATAGGACCCAAGTGTAGTATCTGTTCTGGTCAGTTCAATATCTGATCCGTGGTCCATCGGGCCCATAAAAAAAAAAAAATCAAAGGCGAATTGGAAAAAAGACAACCAGAGTGATGCTTTGCAACTGGCTTGGTCACGTTTGTGCGATCACACTACTCTGACAGGGAAAGAAGTCGCGCGGGAAAGCCCTGAGTGAAGAAGAAAAACTCGTACGTGCAGAGATGCTTGCCCTGCAGGTGAGCCAAAAACCCTCTTCCCCTCCTCTTCGTCCCCTTCCCCCCTCAAAAAAAAAAAAAAAAAGGCATCTTTCATCTTTTGTTTTTTCCTTGTTTTTGGCTTATTAGTGAACTCCCACGGAACATCTGGGGGGCCCAACAATTTCCAAATACTGTCTTTTTTTTTTTTTCTTTTTTTTTTTTTTACTTCGAGTCGCAGATACCACTTAGGGAGGTGATAAGAGCAGCCTCCCTAAGTGGGTCCCGGGGTGAAGGCTCCATCTATTGGTGGGGAGCTGCACCTGCTGGAAATCGGGTCCAGCGTCCCTCATATTACAGGACATATCAATGACTGACAAATGTTTGGACAACTGACATATGCTGGCAGAGTTCACTGTCCTTCCTGTTGCCTGTTCCCCCGAGGCGTGGTGAGGGCAGGTGTACCCAACTTGAGATGGCAGGGCTTTTGGGCCCTTTGTGTTTGCTGATGACAGGGAGTAGTGAGGTCGGTGCCGGCTGCGGCCGTAGGGAGTCTTTGCAGAGTGAAAGGTGAGGTTTTCCCCCCCTTTAGCCCCTGTACCAAGGGGAGTGTAGCCACCATTCCCATCTGCTATCATATAGTTGTAGTCTTCCGTGGGCGGCTTTCGACCTTCCGCTGTCCTCCTTGTATGCACTCGCAGAACCTTGTGTTTCTTAGTCACATCTTCTGTAGTGCTGCTGTTGTTTGTCTGTCCTGCTTGGCTTGTGGGTTTGAGCTGGAGTTGCCAGGCCCATGCTGGATGGGTGAAACTCGAGGTGAACA